TTATGAGCTGTGTTTGCTAACTTACATTTCTAATTTGTTATTTTTTTCGAGATGGTGACCCTGTGGTTAATCACTTCTTTCATATTACTATGTAGTACTGATTAGATATGTATATCTAGATAATAGTATTGACTTGAAAATCGTAAAATTTACTATTGAAAACACATTTTCACTAGAGATTTTATTTGAGATATATAACCTCAAGTAGAATTGAGCTAGGCACAGATTGGTATAGAATCCTGGACTACGCCACGTCTGGCTCTATATATAATAATATTTATATTGGTATATCTTTGCCAATTCGAATTAGGTATAAAGTTAGCATTTTTCAATTATAAATCAATAAGGTAACATTTATATAAATTTTATAAGCGTTACTTATCTTGAGATATCTAAAAATAGTTAACTTTTAGCTACAGAGAACTGACAGTGATTAAAACACCACAGAATAAATAAAAGTCTTCTGCATACTATCAAATGCTCGTACAAAAAAAAAAGCTTTTGATTGATTGTTGTTATTCTACTCTGCAAAAATTGTAAAGAAGCAAGCAAGTTTTGCTAGAAAAGCTTGATAACTATGTATTATATAATGTTCAAATATATGCAAAATCCACCATCAAATTAAATTTGAGCTTTCTGTATAATACACGATTGTTAAGTTCTTAATTTATCCGTTTTTATATTCAGGTTCCAACTTTGTTAACTTCCCGTAGGGTAAGTTATAGTAATGGGCCAAAATCGCAAATGAAAATTTTTGCATATCTTCTCTTTTCAGAGGTTTCTGAACATTTTGGCATACCTCAAAAATTGGATGTGTATGTGTGTTTTGTATGTCCGCAAATTTTTCTCAAAGTTTTCGGGCGCACGGTTCAACCGATTTGACGAAGACAGGTCCGGCTTTCGAGACATGGAGTAAAAAGTATTTTAAAAGAACGGATCACCGGTTTGAATGATCCACAAAAACATTCATTCACCATTCGTAATGACGTGAAGAGGTGGTAATTAGTTTTTGACAGAGGCAGGTCTAGCCGTTTCGGAGATATAGAGCTTGGTTGTGATATTCACAGACCAGTTTTCAATACTAACTACATCGAGTAGAATATGTTAAAATAACATGAAATTTATTTCTAATATAATTGGCCTTTAGAAACTAATGATTCACCATATAAAATACGAGTATCATGGACACCAGGCATTTTCTTTTAAATCCAAATAGTTTATTGATGATCATTTACTGATACTTAAATATAGTCGGCGCTTCGTTATGATCTGGACAAGGTCCAAATGAAAATTGAGGACTAGCATTTGTTAATATGAGAAGATTTGTTTTCAAAATTAGGTTATACGGTGGAGCAAAGTATCGTGTTCATAGTTTATCTCAACTTTAATGTCTCTTCGCTACGATCGCAGAAAATAACAACAGGTTGGATAGGGTTGTGATTGTCGTCCTTGATAATATCTTATCTAAACGCTGTTATTTGTGGCATAAGCTTAACTTGTTCTTGAGACCGGTTCTATATGTCGACTTGATACACTTTGATATTTCTTACAAACTGCGAATGTTTTAAGTTGATCTAGTTATGACATTTATTGAGGTAATGCAGCACACCTACAGCAAGTTATTAAAATACATTACTTGCAAATACCAAGCCAAATGACAATGTTTATGCATTTTCAATCTATTGGAAATTTTTTTTATTGTAGGTTATAAATTAATTTGTATGTTGTCATATAAATGTTACGTAATAAATTGCCACTAATAATAAAAGCAATAAAATAATAAAATTAATTGTATATTTATATGTGTCTTGATATATCGCCATGATCGTGATTTGAAATGAAGATTCTTGCAGCAACTACATTCAATTTTTAACTTCCCGTAGGGTAAGTTATAGTAATCGCAAAAAAATCGAAAATGAAAATTTTTATATATCTTTACGTTTCAGAGGTTTCTGAACATTTTGGCATACCTTAGAAAAAATGGATGTATGTGTGGTGTGTATGTGTGTGTGTGTGTGTGTGTGTGTGTATGTATGTATGTGTGTGTATGTATGTGCTGATACAAATTTTCGTCGACGATTTCGGGAAACACGGATCAACCGATTTGAATAATTCAAAAAATTCGATCCGTATTGATAAGGAGACGTGCTGATTAGTTTTTGGCAAAGGCAGGTCAAGCCGTTCCGAAGATACGGGGCAAAAGTTCCGAAAACGGTAACTCAGTTTTTAAGAGAACGGAGCGTCCGATTTTAATAATTCAAAAAACATTTTATTTGTATTGACTAAATGAAGAACTGTTCAAATTTTTGGAAAGGGAAAGTCCAACAGCTTCGGAGATATGGAGAAAAAGTAAAAAATTTAGCCATTTGGCGGTCAAAAAGAACATTAGAGATATGCACATAAAATTATCAGATATTTTATATAAATTTTAATAATAATACATATATTATATCATTGTAATGCTACGCGCGCTATCGCATATTGATATTTTGTCTCTAGAACAGGTACGAAGCGCGGTCGCGCTGTCATTTTAGAACGAGTTTGTTGGAGCCGAGGGTGCAAAAATGATCATGATGGCAAGAAATTATTAGTTTTTGGGGAAGACAGGTTTTGAAAAAAAATGCTTTATATTTTCAAATTTTCATTTATAAAAAACAAAAACTTCAATATATTTCCAAAGTAAAATTTTTTTTTTTAATAAATTTTAAAAAAAAATTCGAAATATTTAAAAAAAAATGATGAATTTTAAAACATATGAAAAAAATTCCAGTTTTTAGTTTCGATTTTTTAACTTCCCGTAGGGCAAGTTATAGTAATCGCAAAAAAAAAGAAAATGAAATTTTTATATATCCTTACGTTTCAGAGGTTTCTGAACATTTTGGCATACCTTAGAAAAAATGGATGTATGTGTTGTGTGTGTATGTGTGTGTGTGTGTGTGTGTGTATGTATGTATGTTGTGTATGTATGTGCGGATACAAATTTTCGTCGACGATTTCGGGAACACGGATCAACCGATTTGAATAATTCAAAAAACATTCGATCCGTATTGATAAGGAGACGTGCTGATTAGTTTTTGGCAAAGGCAGGTCAAGCCGTTCCGAAGATACGGGGCAAAAGTTTCGAAAACGGTAACTCAGTTTTTAAGAGAACGGAGCGTCCGATTTTAATAATTCAAAAAACATTTATTTGTATTGACAAGATGAAGAATCGATACAACTTTCATGAAGGTAGGTCCAGCGGTTTCGGAGATATAGAGGAAAAAGTAAAAAAAATGAGCCATTTGGCGGTCAAAAATGATCATTAGACATATGCACATCAAATTATCAGACATTTTATAGAGATTTTAACAATAAGTATACATTTTTTTAACTTCCTATCGGTTCCGTGCCAATGCTTATGCGTTAGACAGCGACGCGGCGCTTACGCGCTTTATATTTTGTCCCTATGTAGTTAAAGCAGTAAGATTGCTTTGAAAAAAAGTTCAGATTTTCCACAATATGTCAAATAAAGAAAAAAAAAACTTTTTTCAAAAAAAAAATTTTTTTAAAAAAAAAAATTTTTTTTTTAAATTTTTTTTTTCGAAAAAAACTAATTTTTTGTCCAATTTATAGTTTCTCAAAAATCTGTTTTTTCAAAGTAATTTTTTTCAAAAATGTTAATCGTTTTAAAAAAATA